TTGCTTGTCTTTAAGTGAGAGATGGGGCGTCTGCTTCTACGGACGATTTGTAAGCTATTATAAAAGTCGGTCGCGAATCTGAAAAGTAGTACAAATCCTTACAGACGCCGAAGGGTTCTTCTACTGTCTAAATTCTATGACGGTACGCGTATAAACTTTAACGATGCCAGTATCTTCTGATAGTGAAGAACCAATGACATTTATTTGCCGACTTTGACTTCTTCAGCGACTGCAATAACAGGAAAGTAACAGAACTTGAACAGCAATTTTGCTTTTAAGAACTGCAGACGTTGGTATACCTATCGGATCGACCATAAATTAGTTGCCATATCTATAGTATCAATAACTTGGACGTACAATCAGCTCAAGTGAAACCCGAGTTGACAGAAGACCTAACTGTCGGATTTCCGTGTACCCGTAGATTTTAGTGTCTTCATAATTACCACCCCATTGCCAAATGCAAATCACATTTTAGCCTTTAGTTAAATATATTCCTGTCTTTACATCTTTAGGGAAGCGAGATCCGGAGCTCCACATCTACGCCAACACCGAGCAATCCTATCGACCCAGGGAACGCTGAGAATCATTTACTTTCCAGTGGCGACCCGGGCGAACTTACCATGTCTAATCTCTACGGCCTTGGTAGAAGAGAAGAGTGGATGAGCGAGGGAAACCGCATGCATGAAGACCATGAACTTCCTGCCGATGTCCCAACCTCCGGTTCCGCATCCTTCCAACAAGCAGATGAAAACGGTCGAATAAGCACTCCCATGCAACCCTCCCAAACGCCGTCATTTGACCATCCCCAAAGCCATGACGGAAGTCGTTCTGGAAGCGGTGAGGGTGGTCCCGCCGATGGCGGCCCATCGGAAGCTGGGAGCCTGTGCAATCAGAGCCCGTCCTTCCCAGGAGGAGCTGCATCTACTGGTGTGGGGAACCCTGGAGATTTGCATAAAGGTCTAGACAGCCAAGTTCAAGCGCCCTATCAGTCGACTTGTTCTGCAGATCAAACTCACCAACACTGGCTGAGACAGTGGGCATCCAAGGATAATGAAGTACCGGTGTCCACAGTCGAACCTTCACGTGATCCCAACGTGACAGTCAGGCCCCCAATTAACTATTGCCCAAGCGATTATGCCCGCCAGGTGCCCGCCAACTGGGCCATCGATTGGTCCGATCAATGCAATAACCTCGTATCGGAGCAGTTCCGAAACTACTACCAATCTGTGAATCCCCATTTCCCGGCCAACTTTTACTGAAAATTTCAGCCGTTTTACTAGTGACAGTCAAGTTCATTGAGCCCGCC